ATTAGCACTTCAGCCTCTCATCCAAACATAGCTCCAAAACAACAACGCGACAGCAGCGAGGTGGTGGCTGATTTACTATAGTTCCAGCTTTGAAAAACAGACTTCCATCTTTGATATATAGTCTCTGTGACAAACATGTTCACCAAGAAACCATCAAAGGGTCAGAGGTCAAGGTTAGCTGGTTTTCTTGATGTCAGGAGTCGTAGAGGGCTGTTTCCTGATGTCTGACTGCTTGAAAGCCACATGTAAACCTCCCAGTAATAATTACAAGAATCTTTTTTGTGACGGTCGGGCCCATTAAGTCATTTGCTGGTTTGGGAATCCGATCAGAAAATGATCAGATGTGTCATCTTTGGAAAGGCAAAGAAAAGGTTTGGATGGCTCGCTGCGGCAGTCGCACTGTGAGAATTTGGCTCCGGCTTTCCGACTCTGGAGGTTTCCTGTTCCTGTCACGGCCGTCAGCTTTGAAGCGTTAAAGTCAGAGAAGCAGCGAAAAGTAGACAACAAGCCGAGTGGGCAGAGTGGGCTGACAGAGGTGGATGAAGTGAACTCCTCAAGGTCCAGAGAAAAAGATGCAGATGTGGGATGCTTGTTGCTGAGGAAACACGTAAACACTGTCAAAAACATGGCAACTGCCAGAGAGATGACATCACCGTGGACCTACAGCTGTGACACGGAGAGCGAGGGAGATGGGAAGAGAGCGAGGGAGACGACATCCGTCAGCGGCCGTTCACCAGACGGATAAACACGAGATAAACGTCACGTAAATAACTGCGTGTCACAACAAGCAGCAGCGAGAACATCAGGAAACAGGGATCAGTGTCAGTCTGACGGCTGCTGGTTTCATTATTGTTTCCAGTTAAACGCACAGAAACAGCAGCAGCGATGTGGACGTCTCAGCGCTGTTTTCTCTGGAACCGTTTCTGCAGTAGGAAGAAATGAAAACTGAAAGCACGCTGCTGAGTGGGAGGCTTTTATGATGCATGAAGTCTGGAGTGATGTTTGCAAGGAAGCGTGGTCCCAAAGCTCGTCTCTAAACAGAGAAGTGACTAAACGGTCATACGGGTGCAAGTGCAGGTCAAAGAGCGGAGCCAGGGCCCTTTGTTTGGGACAAACACCACGTCTGAATCCCGCCTCTCCGATCATTCAGAGTCACTGAATTTTACCAGATTTGAAAGTTTCGTTTGGGATCTGTTGTTTCGTTTTCCCCTCAAAGGGGAAGGTTGGGGAAGGTTCTGGTCTGGGTTTGCTTCCTGCCCTCTGGGCTGAGCAGCTCACAGTCATTCATTCTGCATCATAACAGAGTAGCTGAGAATAATGTGAGTCCATCTGTGGGAAAGCTGATGTTCAGCTGGAAGACGAGCGCTCGAAAACAACAACACAAAATTCAGCTTTAATAAAAAAAATCCTCCAAACTGGGAAATCAAAGGGAACAGACTGGTGTTAATGGATTCACCTGTGCATGAATGAAACTGTTAGGCTGAGTTATGAACTCACTGCTCGCTGTTTCCTCTGGACTCAGAGTCGAGCATCTTTCTCCGTCTGCACGTCAGCGAGCAGCGGCGTTAGCTTTCACTGATCTTTAGGTTGATGAAGACTGTTTCGTGACAGCAGGCGAGTCGGTCGCTGCGTGCCTGAGAATGAGGAAACGCTTCCTCTGCACACTGCGGGCGGCGGCTCCTTCCAAGAAAATGTGATGTTATTAAAGTTGTCAAAGTTCTCACGAAAACATGGCAGCTTAATCCAGATCCGCTCCGGATCCAAGGACTCATCCGTGGTGTAGTTTCTGCTTGTTGCACGCCGTCAGGCGGTGTAGCCTCCACATTCAGACTAAACCATCGTCTCTGACAGCATTTCCAGAGCGTCAGACAGACGTCACTCCTCAGTCCGGATTTTCTCCTTGCTTCATTTCTGACTTCATAAACTCATTTTCAGTCACTGATTTCCTCTGTGGCAGCAAAACAAATCTGAACAGCCTCGAGGAAAATCCTGCAGCTCGCACCGAGCTAACCAACCAGTGTTAGTGCTGAAGATGGACACGAATCCAGGCCGGGGTGTAGTGCTTCAAGTTTCCCCTTTAACTCGTCGTAGGTGCAGCTCAACGTTAGCAGCGGTGTTTTTTACAGTTTCGATATGAGACATACTCAGTAAATAAAGCAAACTCATATTTACTGAATGTGGGCTTTGTAACGTCGGGTTGCGTTTAGTGGTTGAGAGGAGGCGGCAAAACACTTAGCAGGGTAGCCAAAA